CCTGTATGGAGCCCTTACCGTTCCAAAGAGATTAATAAAATCGAGAATGTACAGAGGACTTTTACTAGAGTGCTCTATTACCGCGCCTTCCCTGACCCAGGCTATCCGCAAAATTTACCCCCTTATAAGATTCGTTTGCGCGAGTTGAACCTCAAGAGTCTTTTCTACAGAAGGGTAGAAGCTGACTTGATCTTAGCGTTCAAACTTCTTAGAGGCGAGCTTAGACTGAGACCCTCTAACTATTGGTCGTTTCGTCCGGTGTACGGGCGTCACGGCGGTTTTGCCTTTCGACTAAAGTTACCCAGCTCAAACCGTCTCAGGTGTACGAGTTCGTTCTTTTTCAGAGTCGCCAAATGGCTGGAACGTTTACCAACTACTCTTTTACGCTTAAAAAATTCAGCATGCTTCAAAAACGCCATTCGTGAGATGGACATTCTGCAAGTACTAGGCATACGGGACGTGGAATAGCTCTCTTATTTGTTGCCTCGATCATTCTCCACATTAGTTTCACTAGTTGTATAGTTTAGTTTTTCGACCTGCAGTAAGCGAGGTTTAAAGTACCTCTCTCACTTTTCCTACCTCTTGTATGAACCTCTCAGTTCGGGTTCAGTATTTTTTGTTGACTAAATAGTCTCTCCTCTCATTTTCCTCTTTCGGATCTTCGAATGAGTTTTCTTGAAGATTGTGATCTGGTCTTTCTGGATTTTTTTCTTTGCACTACAATGGTTGTGATGCTACTCCTGTGGATACTTTTGATATTGCTCTGCTTTCTTTCGCCTCTTCGATCAGCCATTGGGGTCTGTGGGGAGGGGCGGGAGTGTCGGCGGGCGGTGGTACTGGCTGCCCCCTGCCAGTGCACCCGTTTCGGCTAGTCTGGCAGGGGCTGCCAGTATAGCCGGGCGCCGAGCTTCTGGTCTGTCCCCAGGGCTTCATGTGGCTGTCTTGAGGGGGAGGGAGAGGGTTGATCAATATTTTTGATTTTTTACATTGTTTCTTGCCTTTTTTTGCGTCTCTGAGCTTTGAATGCTTTTCCTTCCACTGAGTGCAAAGTAAATCGCGTTAGATGCGGATGACTGATTCAATTATTACGGTACCACGATGTTGTTATTTTCTTCCTTCTTTTTTTTTTGTGTTTTGTCTAGCTTACTCCGGTTGTTTTGAGAATTGTTCGGGTTGTACGAAGCACGCCTTCGGGCGTACCAAATAAATAAATAAATAAATAAATAAAAATTCAAATTAGCCTTGTAAAAAAAATTTTTCGGGGGCGTGGCTGACGCCACGCCCTCTTTTTCTGAAATTTTGGGGTCAGGCGCCCGGAAAAATTTTGGGAAACATCCCAAAAAAATTTTCGGAGTGCGTGGCTGACGCCACGCACCTTCATTAGAAAAATTTTTTGTCGCGCCCCCCCTCCCAAGCCGAAATCCTGGGTACGCCACTGACATATATATATATATATATATATATCTTATATATTAGGTCATTCCGAAAGTAATTTCGCTTTTTTCATATGGGCACCACATTTGACGGAACAAAGTTCTCTAAGAGATCTTAGAAGCAATCGATGCAGCATTTCATTCTCTTTCTAATGGTTATGAAACTGTTGCAAAACAGCCAATGAGCTTTAAGAAAATAACCAAAATCTGCGACCCATGCTTTTTGAGATGGTCAAGTTTCACGATTTTTTAAACCTTTCATATCATTCTTCAGAAGGAGCTCAAGTAAAGATTCGATAGAGTAAACCTTATAGAATACAGTGCTACTTTCTTCCCTTTCTCATACCTCGCCGTAGTTTTTTAAAAGTTTTTTTAAAAGAGCCATCGGATTTTGGCAGGCCCACCTCAACCATAATCGCATCAAACATCATATTTTTTCGGAATTTGAGACAACCAAGATGGTACTATGAGTTAGCATTAATTTTACAAAGCAAGCGAGGCTTTACGGGTTCGAAGTATCAAATTTCGAGTTTTTCGGGTGCAGCCTGGGGCTCGCTAAAAAAATGAGTTATGATGATTTTATCCCCGGTAACTAAATGAATCGGAAACAAAAACATCCATTAGAAAGAGGAGAAAAAGCTGCATGGAATGACACCCGAGCTGCTCAAAGTTTGATGTTCTACTAGGATTTAGCTGTCCAAGTATGGAAATCGGTAGCATCAGTTAAAATTCTGTTAAAAATGTATGACAAGCTAAGGAAAAGAGAAAAAAGTTGCACTGTATTCTATGAGGTTTGCTCTATCGAACCGTCATTTGGCCTTTTTCTGAGAATTGATATGAAATTTTCAAAAAATTGTGAAACTCGACTATCTCAAAAAGCATGAGTCGCACATTTTCGTTATTTTCTGAAAGCTCATTGATTGTTTTGCAACAATTTCATAACCATTAGAAAGAGAATGGAATGCTGTTTTGAATGCTACCAAAATCTCTCAGAAACCTTTGTTCTATCAAATGTGGCGCCCATTTGAAAAAAGCGAAATTACTTTCGGAATGACCTAATATAAAGCTGAATGTCTGTTTGTCTGTCTGTCTGTCTGTCTGTCTGTCTGTCTGTCTGTTTGTCTCTCTGTCTGTCTGTTTGTCTGTCTGTCTGTCTGTTTGTCTGTCTGTCTGTCTGTCTGTTCTGTTCTGTCTGTCTGTTTGTCTGTTTGTCTGTCTGTCTGTCTGTCTGTATGTCTGTCTGTCTGTCTGTCTGTACGTATGTTCCGAATAGAAAATTCCATTTCTCAACCGATCCGGACCAAACTTGGCACACTTACACTTCGGGCCCCGGTAGGTGTCACAGTCCACTTTTCGTCATCGATCGGTATCGATTTTATCGATTTTTTGCAAAATCTGAGCTACGGAGCTGGGAGTTGGCACAGGGGGTAATCGAGCATGCTGATTACGAATATAATAATGACAGGGCCGGGCGGAGCCGGGTAAATCAACTAGTATATATATATTTATCAGTGGCGTACCGAGGGGGGGGGGGGCGGGGGGGGGCGCGCGCCCCCCCCCCCCCCCCCCCGAGAACGGGTCGCGAAATTTTTGAAAGTTACTTACATGCGTTATAAAAATGTGCAAATGACTTGTTTATTTTTGTAAACAATTAAAATAATTTTTAAAATTTTTTAAAAATTCAAATTAGCCTTACAAAAAAAATTTTTTCGGGGGCGTGGCTGACGCCACGCACCTTCATTTAAAATTTTTTTTTGCCGCGCCCCCCCCCCCCGAGCCGAAATCCTGGGTACGCCACTGATATTTATATATATATATATATACTGTTTGGTCGTTAATATCTCTCCTCCCTAAAAGTTTTTCGCCTGCCTTCAAATACCATTTTGTATAGCTTCAACTTAGATTAATTGCATAGTGCGAATCTCTAATCTCTCCTCATTCTGTAGGATTACGAATCCCTGATACACCATTTTTCAGAATTTTTAGAAAATTTTTTTTGAACACGGTTAATGCATATCGACGCTGTAAGGCAAAAGTTCCTGCCGTAATCCTACAGTAATAGAGCGATGGTGGTTTGCTCTACATCGTAATCTAAGTTGAAGCCAGCTCTACAAAATGGTACCTAAAGATAGGCAAAAAATTTCCGAGAAAGAGATATAAACGATGCAACAGTGTATACATACTTTTAGGACACCCCTGTGTATGCCTAAGGTGGCATTGAGAGAAGCATTTTTAGTGGAATATCGATATCATAACTCAAACAGGCTGAGAACAGTTACATCAACATCTGTCCTGTTCAAACAAAAAAGATTATTCCAAAGTTGCAGGCAACTCTGTTGAATATGAGTCGTTTCCATCGAGTCAAACTGCAAAATTTCACATGATTTCTTAGAACAGGGAGTTCTTGAGGAAGTGCAAGGAAGGCAAATGTGTCTTCTGATGTGTGCGTCTTCGTTCAACACGAAAAGAATGGTCAGTAAAACAATTTTAGTCTTACTTAGACACACAGTACAATAAATGAAGAAAAAACATATGGTGGTGTATAAAGTAATTTCAAATGATAATCATAATTGCTAAGCGTCAATCTTATCACGCCAGCGTCTAATAGCAGCTCCTCCTCCAGTTGTTATTGGACCTGGACCTCCCAATCCTGGTCTTATGCCGGCCCGCCCTCCAATTACTGGGCCTGGACCACCTATTCCCTGCTAATACCACCAGGTCCTTCGCTCAGACAGTTCTGTGTGCAAGCGGCGCACACTCAAGCCTAGCAGGGCAGGCGGCGCGCCATGATTTGTGGGCTGGCCATGCAGCGCACAGGTGGCGCGCAGGCTCACTTTTTTGGGCCTAAGTTCATGGCTTGCACATTTACTTACCATAAGCGTTTATCATTCTGCAAAAGTGGAATTACGGACCCAATTTGGAAATGCAAAGTGGATCCGTTTGACGCCCAATTTCTAAGAGACTCGCTCAACAAATCTGCTTGTGCTTTTATATGTTGGACTTTCATGCCAGTAGCAAGTGCTACGCATAATTTGAGCTCAGGACGTTGACTGGAACACGCTCTACGAATTTCGTGACAGACATTCAGACAGACAGACACACAAAAACACGTAAACACTCGTAGCGCGTTATTATAGTAGGATATCTACGTAATCATGTCCCATTTATTTGTCAAAGTACGTAGTGATTTTATTGGCGGTTATTTCAAGTTAGCTCGTCATACTGTTGCATGTGTTATCATCAACTTCATTGTAATCATTACTTCATACACACGTATTGCTGATATTACATTTGAATGTAAATACCTTGTTGAGGTTGACTTTAAAATGTTTGTGAAGTTTGTAAGTACTACCTAAACTGTTGGTGTTAAATGCCAGCTGTCAAAGACAGCATTATCCTTTAAATACTGTTTTTGTTGAAATGTTGTGTCAAAACCTGTCAGATTTGAAAACTGTAAATATGTTCTTACATAAAATAGTTATGAAACCACATTGTCCAACAAGCATAAAATATTCAGACCGACAACAAAAATCCGAGCAGATTCTCGCCAAAATCTTTCCCGTAGCGCACAGGCGGCGGACCTTCAATTCATAGGCGGCGCGCACTGCACACACAGGCGGCGGGAAGGCACATCGCTCGCTGATTCAGCGCGCGCCGCCTGCGCGCGTTTGAGCAACCATTGGACCTCTTCTCGGCGGCAGTATTTGTATCATTCTGTCTCTTGAATCGATATCGTCTTCTGGACGTTGCCCAGTTTGTCCTCCTTGTGGTTGCCGTTTAGTACGTTGACTGTAAAGGTCATCAGTCGTCCTTTGATTCAATTGACTTGGCGGCTGGAAGGCGGGGCTTCGCGACCTAATTAAATCTAGGTAATGATCAAAGAGCACACTCGCGCGGAAAAAACGCAGACTGCGTAGCAAGCGGCCTTAATTATGTCAAAAAGCCCGCCTTCTAGCCGTCAAGCCAGTCAAATTAAGAGCTATATTGAACTAAGAGCATTGAAGTTGTTCTTCTACGAATTGTTTATTGGTTTTGACCCTACTATTTAATTTGTGGAAAAAAGGTGCGATGATTGCCTGAGTCGATTGACAACAGGGTCGCTTCTCTATATCTCGCTTTGGAGTGTAACTGAATCCAAGGGCTCCATCTCAGAAGGTTGCGCTGTTTGAAAAAACACCACTTTTTGCGGTATAATATTTTACAACGAAAATTTTGTCAAATAGAGAAAATTATTCTCTGCAACGCTTACTTTGAAATAAGCTATTGAGAAAAAATATGAGAGATCCAAGCGATTCAAGAGAGTTGAGTTTCACATTTTTTAAGCAATGTCATAAAAATGCTGAAGGAGGGCAAAAAAAGGCAAAAACCACAAATAAATTTGTACATATACTCCTTATACAGGGTGTCCCAAAAGTAGGTACACTCTTTTCAATGGTTAATACCTCTCTTCCCGTTGTGTCTTTTTCCGCCATTCAAGTACCATTCTGTAGAGGAGGCTTCAACTTAGAGTTACAGAAATGAGCAAGTCACTCGCCCGCTCTTCATTACTGAAGGATTACTATAGGAACTTCGACAAGGATTTTAGGCCATTGGAAGCCATATTCTGCGTGAGAACAAAACCAAACAAGCCAAAAACTTTTTTACTATGGTAATGGAAGCCGCTAATTTCGAATGTGAACTTTCCACTTTACTGTGATACTTCTTTCCAAAGTTACTCCAGGTAAACTGTAATGACCAATTTTCCAGTCTTTGTCAGAAATGTTATTACCCCGTCAAAAAGCTGAAAACACTTGTAGAAAGTTGTGTAGTGAAATCAGCGTGCGCGAAAATCCTAGTACACAATTTTTCAAATTTTTTGAAAAAAATTTTGCCAGCTGGGATATTTCACGATTCCACATCCTGGAAGTTCTTACCTTAATCCTACAGTAACGAAGAGAGATCGGTGATTCGATCGATGCCGTAAATCTAAGTTGAAATCTCGTCTACGGAATGGTACTTCACTGACAAAAAAGACCCATTGGGAAGAGAGATATTAACGATTGAAAAGTGTACTTACTTTTGGACACCCTGTACATGTTGACTTGGTACGTGTACTGGTAGACTTAGATTCGTTGAAGCCGAGAAAGCCATTTTTTTGCTGTTTTTTTTTTGAATTGGTCATATAAAGATGTGAAATGTGAGGCACTTTCTTGATGACTTTTCTGCATCGCTTCCAGACTCCTTCTACAGAAAAAGATTTAAAAACTTAATTATACATTTCAGAATGTTATTAATAATCTTGAAATTGTTTTGGTGATGTTCACACTGCGCTTTTTTTAGAGATTTTGGTTGGAATTGGCAATTATAAGAAAAACAGCAAAAAATTTCACTTTCCTCGGTTTCGATTGTGAGTCTACCACTGCGCGTAGCAAGGTGCCACCGTATAAGGAGCATGTAAGTTTTGAATCTATTTTAACGGTAATTTTTATGGACCTTGCTCAAAAAATACTGAACTCGAGTAGTCCTATTCGATTCTTGTATCCTTTGCACTTTCTATCAATAGCTGAACTAACAAGGAAACGATAGTCAATGCCATTTATTTTTTGTTGCGGAAATTCGAAAGCAGTACCATTTAATTCAGATTTTTATTCTCTTTCTTACAGCTGTATTTGCTCTCTGATCTACCCTTGCTTTGAGAAAGTCTTTGCAATGTTATCGCCATGGCTTTTTGAGCATCTTACATCTTACAAGGAAGAGTTCCCAAATCAGCTCGGCCAACCCGGATAAGTCTCATATCATCGTAACGGGCTTGGAACGCAGATTTCAAATTCTGCTTTCCGTTTCTGCGGAGCAACTCTCCGAAAGAAGTTATGAGAGGGTTTGAAAGCCTAAATTTGTCATGTTTAAAGTGCCTTAAAATTAGCTAAATACTTCAAAACGACATCTGGCGTGCTTCACTTTGCTGCGCTCCGTCCTCGCAAATACTATACTCGTTACAAAACTGATAACCCACTTTCACGTGTGCTGAAGTTTTCAAAGAGCGCTGGTAACTGTTATGTAGAGCAAACCTTTGGCTACATCGTGCCAATTTGGATTACATGGGCAACGTTTACCAAGTCCGTTACGATCATTTATTTGATAAAAACCGAGGATTTTTGATACGTTTAACAAACAAAAGCGCCGAGTATTCCAAAAGCTGATGTTTCAAAGCAAGGCAAACTTGGATAGCTTGCATAATGTTTAATAACAAACAAGTCTGAAGACTTTAAAAGTTTTTATGTTTTTGCTGCAGTTAAAATATTACCATATAGCCCGAGAATTGCTCTATTCAAGCCATGCTTAATCCTTTCAGAAACTTTAAATGAAATTTCTAAAAATTGCTTAACTTTGAGCAGAGAAAAATGACGGGTGAAGTGTTCAGCAATTATCCTTGTCGGTCATTACATTACTTACAGCAAAAAGTTATGATTTTTGGAAATTCGTGCGACAGAACATTCGGTGCAACCTGACATTAAACAGGGTGTTCCAAAGGTATGTACTCACTTTTCACTTGTTTGTAGCTCTTTCTTAGACCTTAAAAAAATGCTCGTCGTCAACGTGTTAAGTAAAGTAACTAAGAATAAGTGTGACATATTAGATGGGTCCGAAAATTCGTGCCGTTTTTTAGACCCGCTCTAATCGCTCAAAATGAAGGTAGACAAGTTGTTCAAACACTATCCGATGCAGAACTTCTTCTTCTTTCCATTGGTTCTGCCTTCGTTGTGATTATTTCTGCGAGCGCTGAGATAACTGCCAAAAACTAGAACCCTTCATTTTACCATGTCTAATTTGCGCTAATTTTCAGAATTTTCATTTAGGACTTCTGAAGGTGTTCTATTATCCACCTGATAAGACAGGCCTTTTTCAAATCAACGCAATTTTTTGCATCTCTCTGGCATGCTCTCTAGAATTATTATCATATATTTCTGAAGTGACCAAATTATATATTTTGCTCATTCTAACTTCGCAAAACATTAGACGTTGAACAGTTTAGGTACCATTCAATGCATCTTTTGCTCCTCTTTCTGACAGCTACCTTTTCTTCGCGAAACGTGCTAATTTGGTAGAAGAAATCGCTGTACTTCCTAATTTTACGGTTGTGCAAGTTGTAATCTAAATTTCAAAATCTATCCATTTTCATGCCGTGATCGCTCATTTATTTCGTAGTACTAAAGTGATGGTAATAACCTAGTTTTTGAACTTCAATATTATGAGGACTTCGCAGTGTTTGGTGCAATTATGTGCTACGCGATTTTTCAAATTCAATGGTAAAATAATTCAGCAAAATTCCTATAGAGGAAGCTGAAAAATGCAAAAAATTGCATTGATTTGGAAAAAAATTTGCCTTATCAGGTAATTACTAGAGCATCTTCAAAAGTCTAAAATAGAAATTGAATTAGCGGAAGTCAGACATGGTGAAACTAAAGTGTTCTAGTCCCTGTCATTTATCTCAGCGCTCGTCGAAACAGTCACGGGAACATAGCTGCTGGAAAGAGGGAGACATTCTGCATCGGATAATGTCTGAACGATTTGTCTTTCATTATTCTGAACGATTCCTGAATAGCTTTGAAAAACGGCACGAACTTTTGGACCCACCTAATATTTTTTTTATCTGACAGTGTTTATCGAATAAAGTGTTCTGATAATCATCACTGCTCCGTTAGCAGACTAGCAAAAATATAGCGACAATTTTTGTCTTATTTGCACATGTAATTTTTGCCCCGTTAAATATAACTCTCATTCATAAACGTTCCGCAGATAAGGAAGGCAAATTTGGAATCAGTTTTATATGCTCTCCAGCGTATACACCCCATTCAGAAAGTCCACTTCGTCTAAACATAGCTTCTTTGTAAGTCCATTCTAGATTCACAAAATGGTACCTGCAGCTAAGCCAAAGGCTTTGTTGGTAGAGAGATATCAATGATTAAAAAGTGTTCGCCTACTTTTGGGACACCTTATAAAAAGCTCTTTACTTGTTGGCTCACTGTGCTGTTCCCGTATGTTGCTTCTTACGGCAAGCGAAAATATGAAAAGATTCGTGGGGACTAGCTATCATAAACTACCGTAGCCAGGCAGGTACTTCTATAGATCAGATGCTCAGAGCTGAGCTGAGTTAAACTAATGAGTTGAATGGTGACTTTGGTTCAGAATTTGTACACTCCGAAAAGAAATAATATAGAGCTTTGCGGCGCTAATGTCGCCTGGCTAGCCCGTCGCGTTTTTTTTTTCGCACAAAATGTAACAAATACTGTTCTTTCGAAGTTTATACACATCATGTTTTTTTGGAAAAACACGCGCAATCGCCCGATTCATATGGCATCATCGTTACGAGGTCATATCTCGCTTTGAAGTGGGCAAATTTTTAGTCTAGGAGCATCATTCGGCTCAGCTCTGCGCGGCGCATCTTTTAATATGTAGAATCTCCTGTTTGGACACAGTAGGAGGCCAGATCAGGGCCCGGCACAGATCGTCTAAAAGCAGGCTGCACTTCTTTTTTGAAGCAAAAAGCAAAGGAGACCTCGTATTTGACGAGTCGGGACCAAGCACCAAGATTAAGCGGCATTTAGTTGAACACAAGCTTTTCAGACAGGTTATCATACGATTAACATGCTCTATCATGTATCTCGAAAAATGCGCGCGATTTGAAAGCAAAGCTAAAGCAAATTGCTTGTTTACAGCGTACACAGAATCATATGACACCAAAATTGAACTGTATGTATAGAAAATTATTTGCGGAAGGACTATGTAAAAATATTTCAAAACTTATGTGAAGTAACCCATTTTCCGAAATCGCGTCTCCAGACGGCCACCAGACCATCTGAGATTGTCTGGAGCATATATTTTCGTCATTTCACATAAGTTTCGGATTTTTTTAGATGGACGGATTCCCCGGTCAAAAATCTATCTCTGGGCATTGAGACATTTTCATATCATTGCCTTTCTTCTGATTTTTGCCTCAATTTTCTTCAAAAATTGCTTTGTTAATAATCGCGCTCCAATGCCAATTTCTTGTGCATGCGTAGTACTCGGCTCCAGTTTGGATTTTCACTCTTATCTTACGTTTTTTCTTTCAAACTAATCTCTCTTGTTTTCATCTTCCTCTAACGATAAGAGGTAGGTCAAAGAGGACTTCGTAAAACTTCTGAAAGACAGGGGGGACTTCGTTTTCCGAAAAGCTAGGAACCGACTCGTGCCGCGCCCTGGGCCAGATTCCACGAATTGTTTCAGAATTTTGCTAACAATAAGTTGCCCAGTGAGTGCAACGAGTAAGCACACTGAGTTTCCTACAGTAAGCAAAAAACTGAAACGATTCGTCTAGCCTTCTATTGTGCCTAAAAGAGCTGACTCGAATGATGCCCTTTGATCACGAATTTGTCCACTCTGAAGCGAGATATGGCCACGCTACGGTGATTTCACATGAATCGGGCGACTCCGCATCGTTTTTTCAAAAATATGCTAGCGGGATTGTACGTTAACGCCCTCCTCGGATGCCTGAGCCAAGTCAAGTTACCATTGAAAAGACCTTTTATAACCTAGAAAATCACAACCGTTGTACACAATGCCAAGGTACAAATGCACCTTAAGTCAGTGCTAGAAACATACATCTCTCTTGCTGAATTATCAGCTATCAGAATTGCAAACAGTAGGAAAACAATGACAATTTTGGACATGTCTGTCGTAGGGTCTAGACGCACTGTTATATACTGACGCGCAGCTCATTTTTTTCTGAAACAAAACGTCACTATGTCTCAAGACGTATTCACAGAACCGATTGCTGTAAAACAGACTCCATAACAACCGTCAACTGCAAATATCCTTGAACGCAGAACAGGTTTTCTTTCGAGAAAAATAGTACCATCTTACTTTAAATGCTGTTCTATCAAACAACTGGGAAACAAAATTAATGAACGTTTGCATTTTCTTGCGTATCTTTGAATCATCAACAAGCACTCACTATCTCTTTGCGAATGTAAAATGACAAAAACAGACAAAAATAGACATTTTCCTTCTTCGTCGAAGGTGAAACGAGCGAAATAATCATTTAAAGCGACCGCATTATCTTTATCGTATTAGGTTGCAAAGAAAGTTCCCGGGCACTTGCGAAAATTTTTTTAAATCGCTGTAACTGCAAGCAGATAGAATCTTTTATGAAGCTACAAACTTCATTGCAAAGACAATTTTGTCCACAACATATATTTGTCTTGCTGGCTTCTCAGCTCCTCACTGCGGTTCACCAGCATGCGCAGAAGGAAAAAGGTCGTCGCGAAAAGTGGCCTATTTGTGCAGGGTTATCTCAAGCATGATGAGAGCTGGAGAGCCCAGATGCTGTAGTTATACAGCGGTCTGATGGGGCTGTTATCGGGACTATTCACGTTTTTGAAGGACCACCTGCAAAAAAATTTTTCCTAGGAAGTTTGAAAAATCGACCATTTTGCCCTTAGAAATGCACCACTTTTTGAGTAAGTGACTTTGAAGTCTTCTAGTTCGGCACAGAAAGGACCAAATTATTGATTACTGGGAACATTGTTGCAGTAATGCCTTGCGCATCTTTTGGACCCATCATCCAGGCGTGGCGATTCCCGCAGAAGCGACGCCAGCTGCAAAAAGAGTTGCAGTCAGAGACGAGTTCGACAGCTTGTAAGTTCTAAGCGCAAATCGCAAAACTCAAGTGCAGCTGCGGGTCAGAAATTAACATGCTTCTCAATCAGATCACCTATGATTTGGATGATATTGCTTGAACTGCACAAAATGGCCATAAGAAGAAAAATTGCGAAATTTTTGTGGTTGGAAAGATTTCTCCTCTTGACGTGCAGATCAAACACGTCTCGGCATCGGTAAAAGTCGGAGGGCTTGTTGCAAACTTCAGGCTTTCCTCTACTGAACAGTATAAAAAACCTGGTGTCCGATTGAGCGCCTAAAAAATGGTTTAAAAATGAAATTTCCAAAAGTGCCTGGGAACTTTCTTCACAACCTAATACATTTTGAAATTGTTTGCAATAAGTGATGTTCGAAGGATTGCTTTAAAATCAAAACTGAAGAATTTGCAGAGATTATCTGTAAGTCGCTGGTCTGTTGAAGTATGATGTACGAAGATGTAAGAATAAACAAAGTGATAGATAATCGGTAAATGGAATATTAATCTATATCCGCTCACTTTAGTCCAAACTTATGTTATAAAGACTTTATTGCCATTTTTTGAGTTAGGTCGGAAACCCACTCAAGGAGACTATTGGCTCAACGTTGTGAGCCTTGGAGGTTTCTTTCGAAGAGCTTATCGCCACCTCAACGGAATTGCTTCTTTGTAATTTCAGAAAAGAAAGTCATCTTCTTTCAGAACTTTGATAGTTTTCCACCACCGCAGATATAACAATGAAAAAAAAAGACCGTTCAGGATTTTGTCAACATTGCAGAAAAATCTGAAATCGTCGGTGCATAGGACCTGTGACCTACTTTTTATCCGAAAAAAGTTTGTGGTGTTTGGACGTTTCTGTGAAAGTTATGATTTTCGAAAATGGCAAATTAATCAAGTTTGGCATTTCCTGTTGTAAACGGGAAATTCTAACTTCTCGCGGGCAACGTCAACACCGCAAGCCTTTTTCGTTTCAAAGAACAAGTTATAAAAACCGTGTACTTATGATCTTATTCTTTTGCAACGTTCCAGTTTCGGCGACCTGACTCAATAATCAAAACTTCAACGGTCTTTTCCATTTTGATCTCCGCAGTGAGTGTATGGTAGAAGCTCACTAAGGTCCAGCTACAAGGAAGGGGACATCTTTTTTCTAATGGAATTACAAGAAAGGTTGAGATAGTAAAAAGTTGGAAGTTTTCAAAAGTAAAACGACCGAAGTTTTGCGACAATCTTGTACTTACACTTAAGTATTATATTTCTTGTGAAGACGGTGTTTTTCCCTTGTTTTTCGTTTGAGATGAAATTATAGGGCTAAATTGAAGTTTGCAATCTCAATTGGTGCGCCACTTTTCATTACAATTCTACTTCTGCGAACTAACGCTTTCCATCATCTTGTGCATTGCATCACTGGAGCCGGGAACCAAGTCTGCACTATAATTCATGATTCTTTCAAAGACTTAACTGATAATCCCATGGGTAGTGTCCTGATACTGTTTAATATTGCTTCTGGTCTGTTTTACTAAAAATTGGAAATAATTGACTTAAATGTGGGCCAGGGCCCGGCACGAGCTTTTCGCGCGCGTCAAACCGCGCCGTCGCTAATTGCCGTACGCGCGACGTCGCTCAAACGAGCTATTTGTAACGGCATACATGACTAGTTCTCAATGTACGCGTCACGGTATGACACCAGATTTTGTAGGCGAACGGAGAGAGGCTAGTGGAAACAAAGTATGGAAAATTATGAAAAACTTATGTGAACGGGACGAGTAATAAGCATTTTTTCCAAAGATTTTGCAAAATTGGTAAATGAAGTTGTAAATTCAAATGGCTCGTTTGCAACGCGCAGATGACGATATGGTATGAAACTTGGTACGCACGTGGACACAAGCCTGTAGGAGCTAACTTAGGAGTTTCATTGAAAAATTATGTGACTGAAGGTTGTGGCAAAGTTTTTTCTGAAAATTTCCCGCTACCAAAGAAATGGAAAAATGGCTCGTTTGCAACGCAGAGGCGACGAAATCGCGCGGGATTCGGTGTGTATATGCGCAGTAGGACTAAGTAACGAAGTATGAAAAATTATGAAAAACTTATGTAAATGAAGAGTTTCCCCAACTTATTTTCAAATTAGCTTGTCATTTGACAAGCTAATGACAAGCTGAGCTTGGCAAAACTCTCAATTCACATAATTTTTTCAAAATTCTTACATAAATCTACTCTACGCCTAAACATTAGTATATATTGAAATTTTGGTTTCAAACCTCCTCCTCTCCCCATTGCTAGAGGCAAAAATAGCCTCAGCAGTCCCGTTTCCTGAGGAGGAAAGCGCGCCCGAATTGAACGGCGTGTCGCTGAGTCCTTTAATCAGCGTTTGGTGTGTCGGTGTGTCGCCCACTTCTCTGCGTTTTCGTTTGTCTTTCTATTTTCTTTCTGTTTTTTTTTTGTTTTGCCAAAGCTAGGTCGGCGGAGGTAGAATTTGATGGATCCATTTGTTAATAAGTGAAAATATAGTGCTGTTATTGCAAAACTCTGTTATTTTCGATTGCTTCCTCCACCAATTTTAGAGAGCTTCCTGCACCTCACATTACGATATCTCGTAGTCAGTGAGCTAAAGATTTGCTGATGACTCTTGATCTTGCTAGGAGGCATCTTTATATGTACTACTATGGAGGTTTGCCATCAAAGTCCCAATTTTCTTGCATATACCTGCTAATTTTCTGGAATTAAGAGAACTCATTAAAAAAAATTCGTTTTAGGTCGCGGTACAATCGCGAACCAATGAAAAGTTCGATCTGGAATGTACTTTACCCTCGAGCAGCATAGATTGGTTCAACCTCCGAATTGATGAACTTGGTGAGGTATCGGCGCGATCAGACAAGACATTGGCAAGATCAGAGAGTAAAAAAGACAAATGATAGTTTCAGGATGACCTAATGATTTGGTAAGTAAGATTCATATGTAATAAGTAAGATTCATAGCCAAAGGAAAGATAAGAGGCAGCTGAGTCGCCTTTTATGGTCGCGTTAGCTATATACTGTAGCTAAGGTCAGCGCCGAATTCCGACGGATAATGGTTTCTCTTGGCAGGGGGAGAGGGGGGGGGGGGGGGGAAGGAGGAGCCTGGTTCGTACACTTAATCCTTTTTGAATCATCTAGTTCAATTGTTTTCCAACTCTCTAATGTGATCTTTTGTTTATTTTTATGAATGAATTGTTTTTGTTTTTTCGTCAATAAAACTTGTTTTTTGGTCAAAGTGTTCACTGCAGAATCACTGGGATCAATTTTTGGGTCAAAGGGGAATTCGTAAAAAATTTTTGGGTCAAAGGGGAATTCGTTTTCGAAAACCTCTTTTGACAAGCTCGTGCCGGGCCCTGATGTGGGCATAAAGCATAAACATATGAACGAAAGTTTATAGGTGTCATCAATCACACAACTAGTTATTTGCTGAAAACTTTATCCGTCGTTGCGCTTTGATTTATAATACTCCAGAAATATTTTTTGGGACAAAGCACACAAGTGAAAGGTGTTACAAATCACATAAATTAGATTCTATTTCGCAAACTAGTTTGGGTGTTCTTCAATGCTGAGTGGTCAGCAACATGTCTCAGTGTAGGAGCTCACTGTGGACGTCTCAAGTCTGGTCTTACGCCAGCTTGGCCTCCGATGAGTGGAGTTGGACCTGCAAATTTCTGATTCACTAGCTTGCCTTGCACAAATTTTTATCCAAACGTCTTAGATCTGGGCGCACGCCAGCTTGTCCTCCAATTATAGGTCCTTGGGGTTGCGGTTCTGGTGGGGGTACTGTGGGTACTGGTTGGGGTACTTGGCGCCTCTCTCTTTGACTAGAAATTCAGTATGGTAAACGAGAGTAGTTAATGTTTAAATGACCTACATCTCCATTGCAACAGTATCCGTTACCAGAAGAGTTGAAATAAGGAGGAGAACGAGGCAAAGTGTGCGCATGCTTGCCTCTTACTCTGTACACACTTCTTATATACGAGCACGCTGCACACTTTTTTCTGAAAATTCAGCTAAGACTTTATCGGATTAGCGCGTTAAATCCAAAGAATACTCGAAGCTTGTCGATAAAACTCTCCAAGAAGATCACCTGTTGAGCTTTGAACGCTACTGGAACAGTTTTTCACAAAAATAAGGGATGCAGAGAAAAGTAAAAGTGTTTACATTTAGTACACAGCTCAAATTCGTCTCCTATCTTTTGGTTTCTCATTACTTCCAGGGTTTAAATTACTTCATTGTGAAGAAGTCATGAAGGATTCAATCGTTGTGCTAATCGAGATTCAAAATCAAAAGAGAGATCACCTTCTCTCCTTCTTGATGTTGAAACTGTGGATACATCTGAACAGACTTTACGGTTTGCCACACATGGTCTAGAAACTTCCGCTTTCGAAAATCTTAAAGGAGCATCTGATTTAACAAGTTTGATGTTTCTGAATGTTGCATGCTTAGTTTTGAAGGACAAAATGCCCATTTGGCTAAAAAATTCTATAGAGATAAGTCGATATGTGGTGAAAGAATCGTTCGAATGAAACGGATTTTATCACAAGTCTTCTTGCTAATCCAAGCAAATATGTACACATTATTTCTCATACAGTGAAACTATGTAACTACTGGATCTTCCATTTCGAGTGTTTTTTGTTACGGCAAAAAATTGGATGGAGATCATTCATCAACATTACCTAATTTCGTTGAACATATTTACTCACACATTGAATAAGCCGAATTGGTCGTATCCAAGTGTGCACAACGTAACCCGTTACAATTCAAATACTCGGCGAGGCCAACGAACTCAAGTAAAAAAGCATTGTATGCATACAAAATAGTTCGCTTAATTATAAGAACATTGGCGGTAGCCACAGCGCTGCGGTAAGTATGGGGCAGTTCCTAAGAATCGTTAAAGGCGCTTCCAACCGAAGAAATTACAGTTGTAGTGGTAGAATTTTGTCCAAAATTGCGGGACATGCGGGATTTAGTTATAACTTTTTTAAAACAATTTTGTTTGTCATCTGCTGAAGATTTGGCTTCAGCTTGGTGAGACGAATCTTTTAATATACAATATGTCCGTAACTCATGGTAGACTTATGGTAATACCTTGATATTTTCTATGGTAAGCCTTTTGTGAACATTTATCACAGCGTAAATCGCGAATAACAGGTTCTGGAAGTCCTCATTATCGAAAACTATCGCGAAAAATTGGGCAGTTTTTATTCACCCTTATCACTAATATAACCATTTTATCATTTATCACTGACTAGCTGGCTTAACCGGCTCCGGCCGGCGCTGTCAAAAACGAAAAAGGTTCCATTTCTATCCTTATACACCTTTACCTGTGCCCACTTCTACATGCAGTTCCCTATTCCCGCTGTGTTAGTAATCAGTATGCTCACCTACCTTCCTCACCAACCCCCCAGTCCCGTAGCTCAAACTTTGCAAAAGAAGACAGTAAAATTGATAAAAGTAAGGATAATTCTAAAAACTAATGGCGTTATTCGGCTATCCGGGCCCTAAAATGTTTTGTGGTGGATCTTGCTTAAACTCGATATATGGGGTTATTCAAGCCGCTGATGATGAATATCGTAGTCATTTCGCGTGGCCGCGGGTAAAAATCATGAACCTTCCTGAAATCTTGGCAGGGAATTACTAAAGTGCTGTTTCAAGAATATCGTGCTTCCCCACGATAAAGGCAATTCGTGTGGTATAGAAGTTTCCCACGACCGTAATGCTTTCCTTATAGGACCACTGCCGCGCGCGAGACACCCTTCGGCGGTTTTTGCCTAAGCAAAAACAGGAGGAGGGAGATGCGTTACGCATTGAGGCAGGACATCAGCTTCCTTATAGGACCACTGCCGCGCGCGATACACCCTTCGGCGGCTTTTGCCCAGGCAAAAACAGGGGAAGGGAGAATTGCCGCGTGCGTCACACGTTAGGACAGGTTATCAGGATGGCGCTGGAGACCGCATGCAAAACAACCGTTTCCCCATTTCGTGAATCTCGCAATCTAAATTGGCCCGAAAGCGAAAAAATGTCCATTCAAACCCTGCAACTCACCATAACTTCACAATGACGCGTTATGACAGCGAGCAATATTCATAAGTAGTATGCTTGTGAACGGTTACAGGTAAGGTTTTGAGCAAATCTGGAACTTCAACCCATCTACTGCACACCCACCATAACCCAAGAAAATGCGCTATCCTGCGAAATCAACATGATATTCATGTTCAGCGCGCTAAATGACCACCCTAGACGAAGTTTAAAGCAAATAATGTTCGATCCCATCCCGTATAACCACCATAACTCTATGAAAAGGTCCCAATACGCAAAGAGAGTATGAAATTCGTAATCAGCATGTTAAATAAGTTCTCTGGACCGAACTCCAGCCAAATTCATGATTTTGACTTCCTACTGTACACCCATCTGAACCACACGGGGAGACTTTCTGCGGAAAAAGTGTGATATCTGTAATTAGCATGTAAGATAACCTTTATACACGAAGTTTGAGCAAGCTCTACCACAAAAAAATTTTTGGGTCCCTGATAGCCGAATAGCGCCAAACTAATATTGTATTCGTAAACAGCATGCTCGATTACCCTCCCCCCCTGTGCAAACTCCCAGCCCCGCAGGTCAAACTTTACAAAAAAAATCGATAAAATAGATAATACTAATGGACGATCTCAAAAACTAATATTGTATTCGTAATCAGCATGCTCGATTACCCCCTTGTGCCAACCCCCAGCCCCGTAGCTCAAACTTTGCAAGAAAGTCGATAAAATCGATAAAAGTAATCGATAATTCTGAAAACTAATATTGTGTTCGGAATCCCCAGCTCACCTACCCCCCCTGTGCCAACTCCCAGCGCCGTAGGTGAACTCTGCAAAAAAATCAATAAAAATCGATAAAATCGATAACAATCGATGACGAATAGTAGCCGTGACACCCGCCGGGGCCCAAAGTGTATGTGTGCCAAGTTTGGTCCGGATCGGTTCGGAAATGGAATTTTCTATTCGGAACATACGTACAGACAGGCATACAGACAGACAGACAGACATACAGACGTACAAACAGACATTCAGCTTTATATATTAGGTTGGTCCGAAAGTTCGTTCGCACCATTTCAAAAAATCATAACTTCCTTCCCTTACAATGATTTTGCGCAACTCAAATTTCATTAGAAAGCGTAAAGCATGTAGTTTCCAAAAATCCCCTGGGGACATCTCGTCATCATGTTCAATTTGCAGAGATAAACAAGAAAGAACGAGATCATCCGAAATTCGGAATTTTTAAGCAAAAATTCTAAAAAATCAGAAACTGTGCAATAAAACCCAGAACAGCTGTCATCCTAAGCTTTCTTAGATTTGATTATCAACTGAGTCAAGTTTGTACTGATCGAGCTCTTTAGAAACAGTGCGATACAATCCAGAAAAGCCATTATCCTAATTTTTCTTACATTTGATTACTATCTGAGTCAAGTCTGTGCTGATCGAGGTCTTCTTTTAGAAGTTATGAATTTTTGAAAAAAAATGTCAAAAATCCATTTCTTAAGAATTCCTAGGAAATTGATTTTTCCGCATTATTTTTTAAAAAATCATAACTTCTAAAAGAAGACCTCGATCAGCACAAACTTGACTCAGATAGTAATCAAATGTAAGAAAAATTAGGATAATGGCTTTTCTGGATTGTATCGCACTGTTTCTGAATTTTTAGAAATCTTGCTTAAAAATTCCGAGTTTCGGATGATCTCGTTCTTTCATTTTTATCTCTGCCACCTGAGCATGACGGAAACTTTCCAAAGAGCATTTGGAAACTTCATGCTTTACGCTCTTAGACAAAATTCGAATTGCGCAAAATCGTCGTGACCGAAAGAAGTTATGAATTTTTGAAAATAGTGCGACAGAACTTTCGGTTCAACCTAATATATTAGGTGGGTCACAAAGTTCGTTCGCCAGATTTTCAAAAAAATCATAACTTCCTTCCTTCTTGGTGGAATTTCTTGAATTTATTCCTGTTCAAAAGAGGAAACCTTTCTTTTTACAACAGTACCTTTGGCATGAAACAGCGTGAGAAATTTTGAGAGTTACAAGCAGTTGAATGAAATCACTCAAAATCGGCACTTTTCAAGCAGGGTCACGAAAAATTCTGGAAGTATTTTTATTTGATAGAGTAAATTTTGCTCATTACAGTGGTGCCTTTTTCATGAATTAAAACGATGTAGATCAAGAGTTAGAAATGAATAAAGAGAATTTCTTCATTTTTGCAATTTTTGAGCATGCTCAAAAAAGCTTGAGAACGTCACAGAAAATGCGAAAAAGTCATAAACATAGGTTTTGTGACCTTCCCTTTCTAGCTGAGTGAAAATCGTGTCAATCGGGAGCAATTTTAATTTTCATGAAAAACGCAGACCCGAAAATCCGAATAAATCGCGAAAATGAAAATTGCTCCCGATTGGCACGGTTTTTGCTCAACTAGAAAGAAAAGGTCACAAAACCCATGTTTATGACTTTTTCGCATTTTCTGTGATGTTTTCAAGCTTTTTTGAGCATGCTCAAAAATTGCAAAAGTGAAGAAATTCTCTTTTTTTCATTTCTAACTCTCTATCTACATCGTTTTAATTCATGAAAAAGGCACCCTTGTAATGAGCAAAATTTACTCTATCAAATAAAATACTTCCAGAATTTTTCGTGACCCTGCTTGAAAAGTGCCGATCTTGAGTGATTTCATTCAACTGCTTGTAACTCTCGAAATTTCTCACGCTTTTTCATGCCAAAGGTACTGTTGTAAAAAGAAAGGTTTCCTCTTTTGAACAGGAATAAATTCAAAAAAATCCACCAAGAAGGAAGGAAGTTATGATTTTTTGAAAATCTGGCGAACGAACTTTGTGACCCACCTAATATCCTTACTATAATATACACTGGATCCTTTCAAGCGCGACGGCAGAGTTTTCTGCGTCCCTGCTATCCTTAACCCGTGCATGAAGGAGGTTCCAGTTGCTGAAGGATTCCAGAAAAA